TGCTCTAGGGAAAACATCCCAGTCTGTCCAATCCTGAAACTCTCCAGTCCCAGGCAACATCCTGGCAAATCTCCCTGCACTCTCTCCAGTGCTGTTACACACCTCCTATAACGTGGATTCCAGAACTGCTCACAATACTCTCTCTGTGACCTAACCTGACCTGTTCTTAAACACTATACTTTGGCTAATAAAAGCAAATATCCCATATGCCATCTTAACTACTTTATCCACCTTCCCTGGTACTTTAAGGGATGACTGTACATGCTCACTCAGGTCCCTCTGATCCTCGGTGCTTCCCAGGGTCCTACTCTTCATCATGTGTTCCCTTGCCTTGTTTGCCCTGCCCTAATGCATCACCTCACACTTATCCGGATTGAATTTCATCGTGAAGTGAATTGAACTGTAAGAGTTTCGAAGAAGCAATGTCTTATTGCAGCAGAGCTTTACCCAACTGATTCCTGGGATAACAAGGTGTAGAGCTGGATGAACACAGCAGGCCAGGCAGCATCAGAGGAGCAGGAAAACTGACGTTTCCGGCCTAGAAGACGGGTCTAGGCCCTAAACGTCAGCTTTCCTGCTCCTCTGATGCTGCTTGACCTGCTGTGTTCATCCAGCTCTACACCTTGTTATCTCAGATTCTCCAGCATCGGCAGTTCCTACTATCTCTGATTCCTGGGATGACAGTTTTGATGTTTGAGGAATGTTTTCTCTCACCGACCCTGAGTCCTGACTTCGAGCTCTGACCCTGAACCTGATCAAGTCTGACACTGAGCCATGACCCCAAGCCCCAACCGTGACCTCTGAACCAGAGCTTACTTGTGCACTGCGGCAGGTTACAGGGTCGTTCCTGGAAAGTTTCCCCGGTGCAGTTCTGGTGTCTCCAACAGGAACGGCTTCGGGTCTTGGTGCTAGGAAACTCTGTGTCTGTACAGTTCCTGGAGCAACGAGTCCATGGGGACCAAGGGGAAAACCCATCAGAGTCTAGAGAATAACAGAGAGAGTGAGGGTGTGAGGGTGAAGGGACAGAGAGAAGGAGAGAGCAAGAGAGAACGAGAGTAATGGAGAGAGTGGGGGTGAATGGAGAGAGTGAGAATAATAGAGGACACAAATGGTGAGAGTGAGAGAGTAACAGAAACAGAGAGAGAGAGGGAGAGGGAGAGAGAGCGAGAGAGGGAAAGAGAGAGAAAGAGAGAGAAAGAGAGAGTAACAGGGAGATGGGAACCTATGCAAGGAATTAGAGGAAGGTAAATCAAGGACAAGTTCAAAAGACAAAAATGGGAATAAGAAAAGTGATAAGCGGAGAAATTGAGGGGCAGGATCAAACTGGGACACAGTGAAAAATAATGGGAACACACAGTATTGTTAAAAATACAAGCCTTAAGGCTTTGTATCCTAATGCACAAAACATTTGCAATAAAATGGGTGAATCAATTGTGCAACTAGATTAAATCATGTACGAGATATTCGGGACTATGGAGATATGGCTGCATGGTGACCAGGGATGGGAGCTGAATACCCAGGGATATTCAGTATTTAGGAAGGTGGACAGAAAGGAAAAGGCAGCAACGTCACACTGCTGGTTAAAGTGGAAATTAACACAATAGTGAGGAAGCATATTAGCTCCGATGATGTGGAATCTGTATGGGTAGAACTGAGAAACATCAAGAGTGTTGTATACAGCCCCCCAAACTGTAGGGGTGATATTGGGACTGGCATTAAACAGGAAATTAGAGACACATGCTATAAAGGAATGTATGTAATCATGGGTGACTCTAATCTGCATATGGATTGGACAAATCAAATTAGTAACATTACCGAGGAGATAGAATTCCTGGAGTAAATATGGGATGGTTTTCTGGACTAATACATTAAGGAATTACCTGGAAATCAGGCCATCCTAGATGAGGTATTGTGTAATGAGAAAGGAATAATTGATAATCTAGCTGTGTGAGGCCCCTTGGGGAAGAGTGACCATAATATGATATGATGGGGCGGCACTATGGCTCAGTGGTTAGCACTGCTGCCTCACAGTGCCAGGGACCCAGGTTCAATTCCACCCTCAGGCGACTGTCTGTGTGGAGTTTGCACATTCTCCCCGTGTCTGCGTGGGTTTCCTCCGGGTGCTCCGGTTTCCTCCCACAGTCCAAAGATGTATGGGTTAGGTGGATTGGCCATGTTAAATTGCCCATAGTGTCCAGGGATGTTTAGGCTAGGTGGGTTAGACATGGGAAATGTAGGGGGATGGGTCTGAGTGAGATGCTGTTCGGAGGGGCTGGTGTGGACTTGTTGGGCTGAATGGCCTGCTTCCACACTGTAGGGGTCCTATGATTCCTCATTAAGATGGAGAGAGACGTAGTTGATTCTGAGTGTAGGATCCTGAATCTAAATAGAGGAAACTACAATGATATGGGGCATGAGTTGGCTCTGATAGATTGGGGAACATTACTGAAAGGGATGACGGTAAAAACGGAATGGTAAACATTTAAAGAGTGCATTGGTGAACTGCAACAATTGCTCATTCCCATCTAGTACAGAAATGAAATGGGAAAGGCTGAAAAACCATGGCACAGAGGGGAAAAATACAGACAGTATTAGATCCAAGGAAAAGGCATACAAATTGGCCAGAGGAAAGCAATGGATCCAAAACTGGCTTCATGGCAGGAGACCCAGGGTGGTGGTAGGAGGCTGTTTGTGAGACTGGAGCCTGGTGTGCAGTGGTGTACCACAGGGATCAGTGCTATGAGATCAAGGACCACGAAAGGTTACCCGGATGGTTGAGAGTGAGGGGGAAGGTGTTACGTTAGAGGAGGATATGAACAGATTGGTCAGATGGTTCAGTCAGTGACAGATGGAATTTAATCCTAATAAATGTGAGGGGATGCACCTTGGAAGGAGTAACAAGACAAGGGAGTACTCAATGGATGGCAGGGAATTAGGAAACTCAGAGGAACAGCGGGATCTTGGGGTGTTTGTCAGATCCGTGAATAGGTGATAGGACAGGTGAATCGGCTAGTTAAGGCAGCATATGGGACTTATCAGTCAAGGTGTAGATTATAAGGGCAGGGAGGTTATGTTGGAGCTGTGCAGGACTTTGAGGAATGGAATACACTGCCTGGTTTGGTTGGTGGGGGGGGGTGGTCGTGGTGGTGTAGTTAAGGCAAGAAACCTCACAACATTTAACAAGTACTTGGATGAGGAGTTGAAATGTCATACCATTTAAGGATATGGGCCTAGTGCGGGCAAGTGGGACAAATGAAGATCTGGTGTAGCTTTGGTGGTACACACTCAATGGCTTGAAGGATCTCTTCTGAACTGTATAGTTCGATGTGATGACAATTGGGAGCAGTTTAGAATTCAACAAAGCAGGACAAAGGGATTGACTAAGGAAAGGAAAATAGAGTACGAGAATAATCTTCTGGGGAACATAAAAACTGACTGTAAAAGCTTCACTTGGTATGTGAAGAGAGAAGGACTGGTGAAGAGAAACATAGGTCCCTTACAGTAAGAAACAGGGGAATTTATAAATAACTGACCAAACAAATACATAGAT